AAGATCGGTTTGACGTAGATAAAACGAATTAGTCTCATGTAACCGGTGCCGTAGATACGTTTGTGGGGAGCTGATGCGCATTAGCGTAGTGCGTATTTGGAACGGATCGCTCATGTAACCCCGGTAAGTGACTATTGGAATGGGAGAGCATATTATGAAGCAATTGTGTGCTTGATGCTTCCGTTTGTTTTGGACTGTATGTTTACACATCCACTGCTGAGTGCTGGTTATCACTATAAATATTATCTAATGCCGTGAAAAGAATAGCACTCCCTTTATAAGATTGGGCCAGTGTAGTCGCGCCCCGCGAGCTCGGCTTCGCCGCTCGGCCGCTACGGGCCGAGGAAATCGGTCCTCGCCTGAGGGCAGGACCGAGGTCAGGGAGGGAGCGCGGGGTCAGCCAGGCATCGCCTGGTGCCGAGCGGTTGCCCCTCCTTCCCCTCCCTTCCCCTCTCTGACCCTCCCTACCTCGGTGGCGGATTCCGCCAAGTTACCGATTCGCCTACGGTGGGAGAGCCAAACGAGGGGACATACTTTTTAGACACACCGTACAGTCGTGTACAGGTTGATGGTCCGCTACTCTTTATCCACCGGGCTCCTATGGCTCAGCATTGGCAGCAGCCGCCTGGTACCGGTAGGCTGTGCCGCATGACCCGAGAGTGAAGCGGCACAGCCTACCCACACTGTATGACACCGGCTCGGGTCGCCTGTTAGAGCGATTTGACCGGACGCTGCGTTACACCGGGGGGGGGGGGGGGGTAAGGGTCAGGCCTGTCGATTTGGCTCGGCTCGGTGGATGAGGCGGGCTGGAGTGTGGTGTGGTGTGGGGCGGGGGGGGGGGGGTGATGTGGGGAGGGAGTGAGCGGACCTGGGGCTTGGTGTGTGTGGTCACTTGTCGCATAGAACCGATCGTAATCCCCCTCCAAAAATTCGCTTTAGAGACATTCACAAAACCCAGGGGGGTTCAAACACCCATCTCCCAAGTGGGGTACGGAAGGACAGGTAAGGGTCCATACGGTCTCCTCATGAATTGCAGCAAATAAAGAAAACAGGTCAGTCACCAAATAATCTTTCTGAAAAGTGGACTAATCGCAAAGCCTCCCACACAGAAATAAACATCCAGCACGCGAATCGTCTCGAACCGGGCCTCTCACTACCGGTCAGTTTGACAGTCGAGCACTCCTACGCTGAGCTACACCGGATCGCAGATTGGGCCGGGGCAAAGTCCGGCCGGGCGGGGGACGGGGCCGGGCGGTCGGCGGCAAAGTCAATTAATCTTTTTGTGGGTTCAGGTGCCGGTCGCTCTAGCTTGGTGGAATGATGATGGATCATTGGCAAAACTTTCAACGTGGAGTCCCGGTTCGAGCCTCATCGGGGCTCCGCCTGCTTTTCCGAGTTAGGATCTGGTTTGATTTTAGTGGTTGCGAAACTTGCGAGCCATTTATACGGTTTTATACCTACATGTCGATTGTCGATTGATTGATTGATTGATTCATTCATTCGTTCATTTAATACATGTCGACATTTAGCATACGAATTGACATCCAGGATCAATCTACCATTTTCATAAACGTATTGCCTAAATATCATGCATATATGTGGCACAAGACCTATGGTTGCCTCGATACCGTGCCAAATCACGTTTTGCACGATGCACAAGTAAAGTAAATTATATTCGCTGGGTCTTCCGTGCATTGTGCTTAGCAAAAACAGGAATGCAATTGTTAAGCGACGCAAAATGTGCAATGCAGCAAGTGACACACCCGCCCAGCCCCCATGGTCCACCAACACGCCCCACACCACTCGCCAGCCCACGCCAACCACCGAGACGAGCCCCTCCCCCGCGCTGGTCTGACGCAACAGCTGGTCTACAAAGTGCTCCACCCGGCGACCCGAGCCGATGTCAAACAAAGATGGTAGACTGTGCCGCCTAACTTTCGGGTCATGCGGCACAGCCTACCGGTACCAGGCGGCTGCTGCCAATGCTGAGCCATAGGAAGCCGGTGGATAAAGAGTAGCGGACCATCAACCTGTACACGACTGTACTCCCGGTCCCTCCGGCTGCACCTGGTGCCGTCCCAGGTGGCTCATTGTGATTGCGTGATGAGCCGAGGACCCACTGACTCGCTCCTATACCGCTCACACTTGTGTCGTGGATTACCACTGTTGCAGCAAACAATTATCCGTGGACGGCCTGCATGAACGCGCCATAGATGTATAGCTTATCAGCCGGGAACTTCTACAGACGTGCCCGGGGAGGTGGGCCGCTATGTATATCATGGTAAAATAGATAACGAGTTATTTTAATGGAGCTTGCCTTTTTATAATAAGTCTATCAGGCATTTAAAAAAATTATTTAATAAGTCTAGAATCACAAGGCATCTACGATTATAACGACACGAGAACTTCTTGGCAATAGATCAACATGTGTTAGGTATACTACATCGACGCACAACGGGTGCGGTCTAAATCGGTTTCTTAACCACGCGCCTATTTTACCTATCAAACGTTTTCTAAGTGATCCGACTCCAGCTCTCTCAAGTCTTTAGTTTCAGGGTCCCTAATTCCTTAGCCAACATATATGTATTCCCTGCTTGAATAGTCCATAGCATGCAGGCGCGCACACAGGATTTTTGAATGGGGGGGGGGGCACGACCTTCGAACTGGGCCCCCCATGCCGAAGGGCCCCCCCCCCCCCGAAAAAAAAATACGGGCCACGGGGTTATATTTCGGTTGGTTTGAAGCTTGAGCAATTGGTTTGTCAATGCATGGTAAAACAATTATTTCGGTACCGGCTTAATTTTCAAAACATATACATCTATTTTTACGCTAGCATGTTTTTTCAAATGTGACTCAGAGCCGGTACATATATCTAATCATCTAATTTATTACGTAAAACATTTCATTAATAAACATTTTTGCAAGTCCCTCAGAAATCAGTCCCGGGCAGCGACTGACTGCTGGCCGGCCGACCGGCCCCGGGTGGCTAGAAGCAGCTGGGCCGGTCACTGTTTAGTGTTTCGCCCGGATGTGTAGAAGCGGGAGCAGCACTCCTTTTTCACGTATATTCGCATATTTTTTAGGCACATCGACATGAAATGTCATTATATCTGATACGATGCGGGATCACAGACTAGAGATCCAGCTTATAACTTATATTTAATGTTTAACCGATGAATCAACTCAACAGGACTATGTACGATGCATGTCGGACACGTACCCAGAATTTCACCCAAGAGGGGTCACCTGCTGGTCACCTGACCCCGGGCCCGCGAGTCACCCGGGGGCCCGGGGTCAGCTCAGGCAAGGATGTATCCAGGACCTTTCGATGGGAGGAGGGAGGCACGGTGGGCCCAGTCTCACTGGCAGACGGGTCTCTTTAAAACGGTCTTTGCATGAGAAAATGTGGAAAATTGGCAAGTAAAAGTATCATTTATGCCCGAGGAGTGTGCCTAATGTGCACTAATGCCTAATGTACATGGTATTTTACGAGCGAGCGAAGCGAGCGAGCTCCTCAGAGTCACCGGTGTGTGGCGCGCTCAGAGGTGCCAGTGAAAGGCCGCCAGATGCGCTGGTGTTGGGTCCTCACAGGCGCCGTTGCGGGGTCTTAGGGCTTAGAGACACTGGTGGGGCCAGCATTGGCATGTGTGTGACCCTGCAAAATGGCCTGCAAGTGGAAAGTGGCCCGCAGGGCCCCTCGGTTTCGAAGAAACCCTAAACCCGAGAACGGGCACGTACCCCCTCGCTCCCTTGCTATGTCACTGAATCCAAGTGATCAGGGACCCTTTAGGTAATCACGGGCGTTTCAGATGACCAGGGGTTTTCAATTGATCAGGGGCCAACCAGGTGACCATGGGCCCCTCTGGTAATCAGGCCTTAAGGTGCCCTCAGATGACCTCAAAGGGCTCTCAGATGGCCTCAAAGGGCCCTCAGATGGCCTCAAGTAACCAGGGACCCCATCAATAACCAGGGCCCCTCAGTAAACGGGGGTCACTCAGGTAACTGTAAGAGTCCCACAGATAACCAGGGGCGGCAAGAAATCTCAGGTCCGTTTTTGACAAGGCTCTTATTGACTCAGGTGCGAGCCCTTTGCCATCAGCAGAGGGCCCTTTCAAGCCTTTTGAGGGCCGTTTAACGTCTCTTGAGTTCCCATTGAGGCCTTCTAAGGGCCCTTTGAGCAGTCGAGGGGTCTTTGAGGCCTTTTGAGGGCCTCTTGACGTCCGCTGAGGACCGTTGGACGCCAGCTGAGGACCGTTTTGGGCCTTCTGATGGCCATTAGACGCCAATGGATGACCCTCTGACACCAACTGGGGCCCTCTGACACCAGCTAAGGACCCTTTAAGTTTGACGTTAGCTCAGGGCCCTCTGACATCAGCTGGGGGGCCCTCTGACGCTAGCTCAAGACCCTTTGACGCTCTTTAAGGCCTTCTGAGGGCCCCTTGGGGCTTTCTAAGGGCCCCTTGAGGCTTTTTGAGAGCCGCTTGACGATAACTGAGGACAGCTGGACTCCAGCTGAGGACCGTTTGAGGCCTTCTGATGGCCATTTGGCGCCAGCTGAGGGCCATCTGGCACCAGCTGGCGTTTGACGTTAGCTGAGGGCCCTTTGAGGCCATCTGAGGGCCCTTTAAGGCCATCTGAGAGCCCTTGGAGGTCATCTGAGGGCCCCTTAAGGCCATCTGAGGGCCCTTTGACACCATCTAAGGGCCCTTTGACACCAGATGAGGGCCCTATGACGCTAACTGAGGGCCCTTTGAGGTCATCTGAGGGCCCTTCGAGGCCATCTGAGGGCCTTTTGAGACCATCTGAGGGCCCTTTAAGGCCAATTGAGGGCCCTTTGTACACGGTCTTCGGTGGTCTAAGGATCAGTTAGAGGCCCATTTGAGGCGGCCTTCGGCCGCCTCAAATGGGCCCCTATTCCTTCGAGCTGGGCCCCCCAACTCGAATGGGGGGGGGGGGCACGGGCCCGTGTGCCCCCCCCCCTTGTGTGCGCCCTTGATAGCATGGCAGCTTCACATGCCGAAGCAGTTAGGGAAACGTGTCAGGAAGAGCGGGAGGATGGTTCGGCGGTCCGTCTCAGTCTCAGTCCAAGGTCTGTGGCGCGCCTGGGGCTCCCCGATCCCGCCGGCCGAGCGGGCTCCTATTTAACCTGGCCGCGGAGCTGGGCCGCCACTGACTCTCTGTGCCGCGGTGGTGGAACCAGTGCTGATCGACGCACCGATACTTGGAACACTATGCTTAGACTGCTGGTGAGTTCGAGTGGATGCTCCCTGTGGATGATCCGTGTAATGCAACTTTCTGTTGGTATAAATGCGCTAATTAGTTTTATTGCGATCATGACTATACACTGTTTTTCGGCAATAGTTGCATTTTCAAGTTTACCGACCAGTGACTACCAAAATCGGCCAATAAAGGTATTAGGCCAAAAGATAAAAGGTCAACGTTATGCAGTAAGGTTGTTTCGGCAGCTCATGCATGTAATCACAAAATGTGATCTTGCGTGAGGAAATATCTTGTGATCTTGAAATGTGGTATAAAAATGTAATTTTGCGTGATCGTTGAATGCAATAATAAGTTGTTGAACTCAATAAAGGCATATCTATTGTCTAAGTCAAATGTCAACGTAATGCAGCAGTTTTCTTTCCGCATCCAATGCGAGTGATCGTGCATGAATAAATGCCAGCTTTGCTTATGGTCACTTACAGAGCTACTACGTGAAAACATTTGTAAACTGAGAAGAATGTATCAAATAGCTATGCATCCAGCGATATTATACAGGGACCGGATCTTCTTCGACAATCTGTTCCAGTCGTTTCTTTCTGAAGTGAACTGTTGACAGGTGATGGAGCGCCTCCATTGTCGACGATGCTTAAAGGCTAAAGCTCCCCCACCTGACGCGTCTCTCTATACTTTGGCAGATGGTGTGCGGCTGTCTGGCGGCCTGCCTGGCTGCTCCGCAGAGACAGCAGTTCGCTCAGCAGCAGCAGCAGTTCGCTCAGCAGCAGCAGCAGCAGTTCCGGCCGACCGCGAGGCCCTCCACCACCACCCCCGTGCCGATCCTGCGTCAGATCTCCAACTCCAACGAGGACGGATCCTACACTTACGGCTACGAAGCCGCCGACGGCTCCTTCAAGCTGGAGACGCGCAAAGCCAACGGCGAGGTGTTCGGCAAGTACGGCTACATCGACGCCCAGGGCGAGCTGATCACCATCGAGTACGGCGCCAATCAGCATGGCTTCCAGCCGTCCGGCAAGGGCATCACCGTTGCGCCGCCCACCCTCGTCGATGAGTCCAGCAAGGACTACGACTACATCGACGAGGAGCCCGTGGCGCCGGTGCGCAGCCAGAGCCGCCCTGCCGCCCCCGCCCCCGCCCGCGCCCCGGTCCGTGCCGCCGCCCCGGCGCCCGCGCCCGTCTCCGTGGCCCGGCCGGTCGCCCAGCCGATTGCCAAGGAGGAGTTCGACAGCAGGTTTGCCGATTTCGACGCCAGGATCGCCAGGCTCTTCAGCCGTGCTTAAGTGATTATCTATGTTTTGCTTCTGAGAAGTGTCATTTTCATTTATTTCGCTGACAATATATCATGATGTTTAAAAAGTCACCAATCTGTGTCTTGTGCGGTTGAATAGCTACTTGCAGGTCAGTCATTGTGAGAAAAAGTGTGCTACATCGGTGTTCTTGGTTTGCTACAGTCTACCAATGCTCCCACCGTTCGTGAAGCGCCGACCTCTCTGGTCATTTTGTTTGTAAAATTGAGGGTCCTTGTAATATCACATGTTGCACGGTGACTTGTCAACATGAATCTAATGTCATTAAGTGTCATATATGTGTCAAAATATAGCACTATACTTCCCTCAAACGCCTAAAACTAAGGTTTGCTGTGTTCTTGAATCAAAGCAAAACGAAATGTACACATCACACCATGCAATGATGATGAAAATCTCACGGCTTAACAATACGACAGCATGGAGAACAGGTATACACTGCATAGATAGTAGTTACGCTATCATGTTTACGGACGGATTAGATGTTTTATTGAGATGCAATTCAGTTTCACCCTAAAAACCGTCTATTGAGTCAGAGCTTCGAAGGTTGAGTAGGTAGGTGAATAACTAAATAACTCATCAGTTTTATTTAGAAAATCACAGCTAACATCTATTTACTGGATTTGCCGAAAACGACTGCAGTGCTACTCAAATGTATCTGATGTAGGGAACAACGAGTGCCCGCCACTTCTGCCGGCGCCTTTTGGTGACTGCTGCTGCTGAGCCGCTATTGCCGTCCGCAGCTACTGTCGTGGTCAGGGTCGTGGACCGCCCGCGGCGGTGACCGTTCTCGATCGCTGATTGGCTGCCTCGGGGCGGCCCCGACCCGGTGCTGGGTCGGGCGCCGTGCGCGTGAGGGAATTGCAGGCGGCGCAGCGCGGCGCGAGCGGGTGCTCACTGGTCAGTGCTCTCCTCGTATTGTGAACGCTGTGTCGTCAATACAATGTTGGCTCTCGACAACATCTACAGAACACACACGAGACCGGAGAACACACACGAGAGGCACGTCTACGTATAGGTAATCTCTTATGATCTCTCAGTAACCGAGGTCAGTTTCAACTTTCATCAACCGAAAAATCAACCGCTGCTGTCCTTTGAAGGTCCAAAATCGCCCACAAATCTTTTGAGAATACTGCAGCCGGCACTTTTATGCTCGTAAAGCGAGGTTGTTCGTAGTCTTATGCCAACGCTCCAACCGATACTTCTTATCGGTATGCCATTTGATACTGAGTAATACCGTGGTAATACATAATGAGGTAAGCGTAGTTTCTTTCACAGAAAATGAGTCTACCACAACTTCGAATTACGTCTTGAAGGTTTGGATTGAGAGGAGCACCGACAGTGCACCAAAGGAGCAAAGCTCACCCTGCGGAAGGCCGGGAGTGTCCCCACGGGATAGCCCACACCCTGTCAACCAGTTATCCGAGGGAGACTGCTCAATATGGGATGACATTACCGGTTCTGTTGGAGCCAAAAGCTCGAACAAGGTGATGTGGGAAAGGTTACTGTGTGGTTGATCCTGAGAACAGTGAGCAAGGATGTCCTCTTTTTTTTTTGCTAAGTTCCTAACTCCCAACCCTCAGATTGTGGTCTCCGGACAAATTGCATGTCTATCCATGGTTCCGGGACCAGCGTCCAATGAGCCAGCTATCACGACTTAACGACTACATGACTGTCGAAATGTCTCTTCGACGACCCCTTCTGCACGACGCAGGAAGCGACGATCGGGACTCTGGCCGGATGCATGCACATTTAGATGTGCTTCAGCTGGGCTCCCTTACACGCCACGCCCTTACAGTTTGCACGATCATTGCAATTAATTACTGATTAAGCTCCCGAGAGAGATTCAAGTCAAGGTGGGTGATTGCTCACATGCTCCATGTGTTTTAGCGTTTTGTTTTAGACTCATCAAAGGTTTTGTTGTAGTTAATGACGTAGTTACCTGACAAGCTTCGAGCTTACTGACATCCTTTCAGCCGCAGCCGAGCGAGAGTTGGCCGCCTGCGCCTTCATCCGTAGCGTCTCAGTGGCACTGGGCCGTCCCTCGGACCGGTTTGGGCGGTGCGCCGGCCGGGGCCATCCGCCCATCTCGCTCTCCAGATACAGGAAGCGGCCGACTGACGCGCCCTCGCCCCGGGCGGTCTCAAGGTCGCGACAGGGCGGCGGCAGCGCGGCGGAAGTGATCCCGTACAGGACGAGGGCGTGCCGGTGGGGCAGGGGCGCCGAGGTGACCGGCAGAGCTCCGCGGTTGGAATGGGAAGACGGCGGACACGTATCTGAGCGCCGGCTCTGCTATCTGACGCGCCTTCCGGCGAGGTCAAGTGGTCGAGTCGAGCAACCGCAGTGGAATATTGGTGCGCGAGCGGTAAGGGTTAACTAGCTAGTGGACTGGAGGATTTGAGATGAAAATCGAGGGTGTTACAGCATGGAGAATGAGGCATGAATATATCTGCTTTGCCAGAGATGCGTGTTTGGAAGAAAAGTGTGCTTCCATAAGAATGTGTTGTCTTTTCAATAAATTAGATAGTCAAACAAAATGCAATTCCTCTTGCTTGCAAAAGTTCTCGATAAAATCGATCGAATTACCTACGATCTAAAACGTTATTTTCGGGTGGTGACTAGCGAAAAATACCGTCAAGCTAAGGATAGGAGACGCTATACCCGCACGCGTTTTCGTCGAACAATGGTAAACACTGTCTGGCCGAGTGAGGCACTGTGCCAATGTCATCGGCCTTATAGAGGACAGCCGCTGTGACGACTCGACTGCAGTTTACGCCATTTCTCCCAGCCAACACAATAGAGCCGCATCAATAGTGCCATAATGAGCATGCACAAAGGAAACACCGGCGCCCTGGCCATTCGTCACCGAAACAGCGCGGTGCGGCTGTTTAGTGCACTGCCACTCCATGAGAACAGGTCCAGATGACTACCTCTTCAGTCGGCCATTCGTCCAGTGCACCTCCGAGTTACAGCTCGTGCCGCACTGTCTTCTGTCACGCTCTGATCGCGTGCGAGCTTCGACGCATCGCTAGTGACGCACGGTCGCTGGGAGGGCGGGTCGACGCGGCGGGTGGCCGCCGCTCTGACCTACCCGGGCCGGCGTGCAATGAAGCGCCCCCGCCAGCCGGACAGGACGCTGGAGCGGTTCCTGGTCGAGGGTGGCGGCTGGAGCCTCGCCGGCGCCATGTCTGGCGAGCAGGCCGGGAAGCTGCAGCGTATCAGACGGCTGACGGAGCAGCCGGCCCGCGGGACAGCAGAGAAACCCGCCGGTGCCGCGACCGCCTGGTGGTTGAGAGTTCGTGCCGTCATTGTCGCCGTGTTTGCGGTGCTGTTCCTCACACAGGTAGGTGAACGAAACACGTAATCGACCGGCGTATACGATGGCGTGCGTATAGCAAACAGTCGCTCCTAAATAGAAAGTTAAGTTGTTATGATGTCAGGACTTCGAAACGGTTCCCGTATTCTCAAAATGCATTTGGGTGCGGTATATATCATTTAGGAATGATGTGCTTACTGCGAGTTTATAGACTCAAATTAAGAGTAGACGTTCAACTACAGTAAAATTGAAAATCTAAAAAGCGCGATAATCCAGGCTGCAGGGCCACAGGCGTAACTTGGAAAATGGAATGATAAAAACGTTGGAATAAATACAAATAATTTATTCCAAAGGACTAATTGGTTGATTATTAGTGGGAGACGCGCAAAGTGGCTATTCGTTTTCGCAGCAACTTGGCGTTCAATACTTTATCTTCAGAAATTGTAATAATATAAAAATGTATGAATCGGTACAAGTATTCTATCAGGTCTTTGCCATAATAAACGCTCATTAGACGCTCATAGTGTAATAGTGTTATATCGCTCACAGTGGTATCTACTGCTGGTTCCTTTTATTTCATATCACTGATGTCTGGAAAGGATCTGATAATCTTCTAGCAAAGTGTTTATCGAACATCGTGCAGCTTGCAACATCTGTGTGTACATCACCAAAATAGCAAAAGACAGCTTAAACCCATTTTCATTTCAGGTGTTTGTCAGCGTGACAAAGCTTCTGTACAATAATACGATATCGACGGTCAAGTGGAAGCCTTTCGAGCAAGGCTTTCCTCTTCCAGCCGTGACCATCTGCTCGTACACAAACATCAACTCGTAAGTTCGTCACTTAATGCTGACAGGTGGATAATTGCAAGGAACTGCAAGCGCACCGGCTTGGCTTTGGGGCCGCATCAGATGGCGGATGTCAAGCTCACCATCAGGCGCTGGGACGGCGGATTTGCGTTGCCCGAACACCCACATTGCTGGCAATTCTCCACTGAATGGACTGCTCCATTTTTTTCTTCTTCAAATAAACACATAAATTATGCCGGAAGAATGAATTAAAGATCGAATTGCTTCATCATAGAATGATGCTTATATCATGCAAACTATTGAAAACTGAGCTGGTTCAGGCTTAATGACTGATAAATATGTTGTTCCAGGAATCTGACACTGGACCAGTTTGTTTTGGAGTGTAATGTGATTACTGACACCTGTGAAGAGGCTATGGGCAAGTACTTGGAGGTAACAACGGTGAACTTGGACACCAGGAGATGCTTCACATTCACCACAAGTGAGCAGTTATGTTGCTTGTGTTCATTTCATCGCCGCTATCCTCTGAAGTCTGATCTGTCACATAATTCCTTTTATCTCCCCAACGCAGTGCATCTACAACAGTCACTTCCCAATAACTCTCATTTTCCTTCCTTGGCTCCTTTGATTGCTCTTGTTTTTTCTTCCCGTTTTCCTTAGTCTTATCCCGTTTTTTCTTACAATGCGCAATCTTCCCTGGAGGCTTCATGTTGAAGTGGTTTGTTAATTTCTGTCTTTCGGCCACGTACGTTACATGCGAAAGAGACTCAGACGTGGATACAGCGGCTTACCTATATAGGTCGTGAAGTCTCGATGTCACCTTCACTTTTTTTTACCTGAAGTTTGGTTATGATTTTTGTAATTATTATAAAATTACATCTATTTTGACGCTGACGGTTCCGCTTTTATCATAAAGAAGACGTTGATGATT